AGTCCAGAATATGCTGAGCATGTCTCGTGAGCTGTGAAGTGGGAGATAGGTCTGTCACTTACCGTGTGCCTGGGAGAGATGGGGAAAGTGAGCTGTGAAAGAAAGCTTTTGGTAAGGTTATGTCAAGCTGTGTTCCCAGTTGTGCCCCAAGACTTACATATGCAGCAGCCTATAGAGTTTGCTGTTTCTCTCTTCTGAAACTGTCATTGCATAAGTGTGACATAAAACTTCACATGCAGCTTTATTAGGAGCAGGTAAAGAGGTGTTTCCAATACAGGGAGTAATGGCACATGTGGTGGAATGATGCAGACTGGCCTATTAAGAGATTGTTCTCCAACCCACTTTTGGGCCATGGTGACTTTTACCCATAGCATTTCAAATCATGCCATCTGAAAATGTAACTCTTGTCCTTTATTTAATCAAATCTCTAATGAATAGACAAAAGAAGTAAACAAATACACACTCTGCACAAGCATACCATAATGCCTCACTTAAATCCTCCTTCAATCTCTCTTAGTGCTGGTGAGGAAAGATGGGGTCTGTGGAATTAACAAGTTTGGATTCTGATGACTAAAGAAGGAAGCCAAATTAGAGTTGAGGATTTCTTGTAGAAAATGCCCTGCCATCGGGCTCCTGCTTATTTGAAACAATGGACCTATAGCTTGAATAGTCCGCTGTTCCCAACTCTGCTAATACACCTCTACCCCAATATAACGCGACCCAATATAACATGAATTCGGATATAAAGCGGTAAAACAGCGCTCCGGGGAGGTGGGGCTGCACGCTCCGGCGGATCAAAGCAAGTTCAATATAACGTAATTTCACCTATAACATGGTAAGATTTTTTGGCTCCTGAGAACAGCGTTATATCAGGGTAGAGGTGTATTACATTAGAGGAGAGACAAACCCTCAGCGTCCTCATTAATTTAGGGCTCTAGAGATGGAAATTTAGTTTCTAGACAGAGTTCAAGAGGCTATTGGAAGTCAGTGAAGGCAGAGTACCTGTGTTGTGTGATTCCGGTATGACTCATTGCTCAGCAGATGTGAGGCTGACTTTTGCAGTGACTGGAGATTCTGAGTGGTTCCAATCCACTCTTTTTGAAATTGGAGTCAGCTGTTCACCACTCAAATTGCACAAGACTAGCATGATGATGGTGAGTTTGAGGAAGAATCTGGAAGAGTTAGTGAGGGAAACATCTGCAGCCCTGCTTAAGATAACATGGCTACCATTTATGAGGCAGGTTTGTGTTCTTGGAGTTTTATTAGATTCTGATGTTGGAAGATCTAGTAACTATAGCTAAAAATATGTTTTGCATCTGTGTGGGGCCAAAGGAGCACAGCTTTTCTTTTTAGCTGCAGACATACCATCAATGGGATCCTGGTCCATGAGTAGGGCTCCTAGGCACTACAATAATACAAATGAATAATAATAACATGCCTCTGTCACCTCAAGATTAATTTACTGTAATCTCTAGTTGGGACTGCATATTATTCACAATACTGGATCAGCTGGTCCAGATGTGTTGGAAACACAGTTAAGTACAGGCAAATGTACTGAATATGCTGCAGTTTACCAACTTCTTATGGCCTCAAACATGTTGAACAAGAAGAGTGACGAAACAGATCTCAGACTATTTCACATGAAAGCTATCACGTCAGAAGAGAAATTGCCCCAAACCACCATCTGGTAAGCAATGAACAGAGCCACTCTAACAATTGTGTCAAGTATCGAAGGGGTAGCCGTGTTAGTCTGGATCTGTAAAAGCAGCAAAGAGTCCTGTGGCACCTTATAGACTAACAGATGTATTGGAGCATGAGCTTTCGTGGGTAAATACCCACTTCTTCGGATGCATGTGACATCTAACAATTGTGTATCCCTTAAATAAGCAATGGTATCAGAGGCAGTTGATATCCTATAAAATCAGCGCAGACAATTCATTGTCCTCCATTGTAAAGAGAAGCCCCGTAATCAATGTTGCTTGTTACTCAAACCCAAGTCTAAAGTCCAAATGAGTGGGATTCAGGAAAGATGAAATCTGTAGAACCTGTCATGGGTCCTGCCACAATCCTCTCAATAAACTTTCCGAAAACTGGAAGATGATGTGCAGTAGACCCAGTACTTCTTCTCTGACCTTCACTCTCCAAGAAGAAGTTGTGTCCAACTTGCAGAGCACCCTTACCACCTTCAGAAGGGCTCAGTGTTGCCTACTCTTTTGATTCTTGTGATATTTCGTGGTTGTCTTAAAGCCCCACCTCCTGGAGTCATGTGATTAAGTGAGACTCTCTTCTTTCTTTCTCTCTTTTTATTTATATAAAAAAAAAGGGTTTTAGCCATCATGATTGCCAAGAAAAAAATTAAAAATGTGAACTTCAAAGTCTCAAAAATGAGAAGATAAATTGTGACTGGGTGCCTGGTATGGGCCACACTGAAAATGCCACGCTCAGTACAGGCTGTAAGAAATAGGACAGACAATCCCCAAAACTCTTGGTTTATTCTATAATTAGATTCACCAAGCCAGGAACAAAAGAGCTTCTGCAGTAACCTACTGGTTAACCAGAAGCCAAATGCAGTCCCCTGTACAGATTTAATAATAAAAGAAAGGGGCAGTTATAAATGGTTAATAGATCATACACATACACATGATTGCAAAGTCCTTATATCAGGTTTGTAGCAGTGATAGAATAGCTTGCTGGCTTGTAAAGTTTCTCTGGTAACTTCCAAAAGATTGTAAGGTTCTCTGTCCATAGTTCAAGATGCTCCTTTTAGTTGTAAATCCACAGTCCAGAGAATCAGATCAGGAAACAGTCAAATTAGGGATGTCTCAGGTGCCTTTTTATATCCTCTGCCATGTGCATGGAAGCTTACTGTTCTAAACAAAGTCCACAGCCCCTGTTTGTGGAAAGTTACTGGCCCAACGTGGAGTCCAGGGTCACAGGAGCATCTCATATATCCTTACATGATTTGCTGAATCACAGGAGGGTGGCCATTGGCTACTCAGGAAGAGCTACCTGGACGGGGTAAGCAGTGATGTAAATTCTACCTGGCAGGTGTCACCCACAAATGCAACACGTGTAAGATATAAGTACATAGCCAATATTCATAATTTCTGATACAATGATGATACATGCATATAAATAGGATAATCATGCTTCAAATCATAACCTTTCCATTGATACCTTCCATGATACACTTTGTATAAGATTTATGGAAATTGTATAACAGTGAAAAGTGATATAAATGGTCACCTTTCTTGTACACAGCATCACAAAACCTCACAATCCCATAACAAAAAAAAAATCTCAGAACTTTTTTTTTTTTTTTTTTTTTAAATCCTGATTTCAAAGCCAATGCCATGATTTTGGTGCGGGAGGCTCACTCATGATTTTTAACTGTTTGGGGCTCGCAATATCAGAGAATGAGTCTGGATGAAACACGAGCCATAAAGAACTAGCAATTGTCCCCTCCAGCCATTGCTCTGTTTTCATGCAGGTATACAAGTTATTCTGAATCTGAGTACCTTTATCCTCAATGTAACATGAAACTCTACTTTGTAACTGACTGGAGGCAGCATGGGTCCAGCAAGCTGTCTTGTGGGCTGTTCTGGAAGTGAAGAAGCATTTTGTTATACCATGCAGCCTAAAGTTCTGATTAAAAATTCCATATGCTGTAATGCCCCGTCGTCTTCCACCAGTGCTCTGGCAGTTTCCAATTTTGCTTTATCATTTGCAGGTCATCTCTAAACCACTGTACTGCATGTGTTACTATGTTTTTGTAAAATGATCTATAAAAAGTACTAAGCATTAATACTGAAATCTGGAAGCACTAATAGTGGCTTTTTGAAGTATTATATTATGGCTGGTGTTGGGAAGAGAAGGCAGGAAGAACTGCCCGGTTCTCTGACTCAGCTGTGATCTCTGACCCTTCTTCATATTCTTGTAAATATTTTAAAGCCATAAATAGACTCCAGTACATATTGCTTACTGAAGACTGATGTCCTCAAACCTAAATAATATCAGGTTTAAAATTGTATTCAATAGTAGCAGATACTTGAAGCTCTGAGTTCCATGAGCTATGGAAATTAGGTTTTTTTATTTCTAATTCTCATCTCAAAATAGTCTGGAAAAATGTACTGGTCCTGAAAGCATTTGTACTAATCCCCAAATGGTACTAGCCCTGACCAGTCGCAAGGACCTGCTCTTGTTTGCCAACAGGTCCAAAATTGAATACAACTGTTCTGCACTAGACTTTCCAACCTGTTTTCATTAAACATTGAGACCTTTCTTTTCTTTTTCTTTTTTTTAATTTTAAAGTGGATTGCCTTGAATCGAGAGTGATACAAAGAGGCTGTGGGTCTTGCTAACACTTTAAAACATGGAGTTTGCTTACATTAAAAAAGCTGTTCGCTTTTTTCTCCTAAAACAAGTATATATTTTTATAAAATTCTTAAGGTGGTTAGCACAAAATCAGTTACAGGTCTGTCGCATCTTACGCGCATTTAACATGCGCGATTTCAGCTTTACACGGTTGGCAAAAACAAAACAAAAAAAACAAAAAAGAGGAAAATAACAATTTTAATACTGTACCCGTAGTGTGGACGATTCCGCCCGCCATTACACTCAATGTAATTTTGACTATACGCGATTTTCGCTTTACGCGCTGACTGCGGAACGTAACCCCAGCGTAAGATGAGACAGACCTGTACTCCGCTTACATTTAATTTTGCTAGCTAGAACTACTGCAAATGTTTTTCTCCGTTTGGAAAAAAAAATGTATTTTAAAAAAGTAGTTTTAAACAAACACATACATTGAGCTAAGCTATTATTCAGTGTATATTCTAATTCCTTATTACCACTTATAAAATAGCCTAAATTCTGTTTTAAGAGTCTAGTCCAGCAAATTGTTTATCAAGGGAACTATTATAAGGGAATATGTTTATCAGAGCATTTGCAAAGTATGCAGAAAATAACTGAGTACACCAAACCTTTCAATTTGTTCCCAGAGCTCAGATGCCTGTACTGCTGTGAACTGGAAGAGCATTGTGAGTATTGATATGCAAATAAACACACAAAGCATTTAAAGGTTTATAATAGGGAGAGAGTGGGAGGATGGAGGAGATTACAAATGCTTAGAAAATGCCAGAACATTTCTAAAATTCTAACTATCGCTTTTAGCTTAATGTTTTATTATATACTCTTGGGAATTAAACTGTATATATTTTTAAAATCTAATATCTATTCATGCAGTACTAGTTTATTAGAGATGCAGCTCTATTCTGAGGCCAGCAAAGTTTTCAGATAAGAGTTTATAATTGCCTATTTCTGGAGTCTTCTAAATAAGGATTTTAAAATGTAGAAACTTTATTGGTCTATAGTGCACTATATGCTTTTTCTTCAGGTTTTGCAGATGTGGATCACTGACCTACATAACCAATAAGAGATTGTGATTGATGTTGGGTTAGGGTTGTAACAATAATACCTGGAAATATAGTAGTTTGTGGCTACAGTGAGAAAGGGGGGGTCCTGTCATGTGCAAGGATGTTTTAGTCAAGTTAATTATCAATTTAACAAAAGTCTTTTAAACGTCGAGGGCTGATTTTCATATTAATTTCAGACATTTTGGAAAACGCATTCTTTTTAAGGTGTTGTGAGGTGGTGGTAGGTTTTTTGTTCCATTTCTTTGCTAGCGGGGAAGTGAGAGGGGGAAGAAGGTTAAAATATGAGTGGTGATGGGTAATGCACCATTTTATCTTGATGGCATCACTGTTAGCCTCTTATTCCCTAGCAGCAAGCAATTTATATTCCCTAGCAGCAAGCTGTAGTGCATCTGGTGAAGACACTCTATGGCGACCGGGTGAGAGTTCTCTCCTAATTCGCAATATTTGATATAAATCAATTTGGATTTTTTAAAAGGCACACCTAATATTTTCTGCAGTTGTAGGTTTTTGCAGGCTAGGAAAAACTTGTTGTCTGGCAGCCTGAAGCCAAAGTAAAATTTATTGTTTGCTAGAAATATACTTGGGGCTTAACAGATAGGTAAAACTCAGGGTCATTGCCCAAAGAGATCCCATGTTACATTGACAAAATGTGACAAGTGATGATTACAAAATTTAGAAGGAATGGAAGATGAATGAAGGAGATCATATGGTATTTTATTCAGTGATGCATGCAGTAGAGAGATTCCAGATTTATTATATTTTTTTCTGTTAGGGATCATTGCTAAGAGAGAGGGACTAGGATTTGTAAAACTTCATAAAGTATGTTTTGAGGAGGAACTCAAAGAAAGAGAATGGGAGGCATGGTGAAGCAGGCCAGGAGGATGGTGGTATTTGTACGTGGCTATACAGAAGACAGGCAAGAGATTAAAGGGATACAACTGATTTGAAATCTAGTCAGTAGTTTCAGGTACTTCGCTTACCTTTGAGGCTTTACAATCACATTTTCTTATTTTTTTCCAAAATGTTTCCCTGTTACTTGTATGAAAACCAACACAATAATAGGCTGACTGACAAGTACTGTCAAACCCTCTAATCGTAATTTTACTTGGAACAATACTAGCCTGTTGTTTTTTTTTTTTTTTTAATGCAAAAATGAAATTGGGTGGTTATCCCACCAATCTCTAACTGCCTGTTGGTCAAACTTCAGACCTGCATTTCAGAATTATCCAGTTTGTGGTTAGGTGGCCTGGTGGTATGGTACTGGACTGGGAATCAGGAGAGCTAGGTTTTGTTCCCAGCTCTGCCACTGCTCTCCTGTGTGATCTAAGGTAAGTCACTGAGCCGGTTTGTTTACCTGCCATGTTCGCAGGTTCGGCCGATCGCGGCTCCCACTGGCCGCGGTTCGCCGCTCCAAGCCAATGGGGGCTGCGGGAAGCGGCAGCCAGCACATCCCTCATCCCACACCAATTCCCACAGCCCCCATTGGCCTGGAGCGGCGAACCGCGGCCAGTGGGAGGCGCGATCGGCCAAACTTGCGGACATGGCAAGTAAACAAACCAGCCCAGCCTGCCAGGGGGCTTACCCTGGACGGCCGCGTGCCAAACGTTGCCGATCCCTGCTCTAGGCACTATATACAACAAAGTAAGAGACAGCAAAGTAAGAGACGTGGGGCAGGGACTATCTAGATAAACACAGGGAATAAGGGGAAATGGAGGCACAGAGCAGTGAAGTGACTTGCCTAGAGCGATGGGGATCCAATCTCAATGGGAATTCCAGGTGCTACTATAATATAAATAATACAGTGTGCCACACTGAGACTGAAAATGAAAATTAGCCTACTTTCTCACATTTCTTGAAAATGTTATTACTCAAGAAAATAAATGAATGATTTGCTCTCTCTCCTCCTCTCCCCCCAGTTGTCGTCCTCCTCTCCCAGCTCCATTCACTCTATTGCCCTATATACAGACATTCATTTTGTGCTCTTTGCCTAGTGAGGGCAGAACACTCCTGCTAACTGGTGGGATTTACAAGGGTAACTACATTTTAGATCACAGTTGTCCTTGGAACAGTTACTTAAACTTCTCCACTAGCCTGCCTTTTTGTATAGCTCTGCAGGAGAAAAGATTACATTGTGGGGGTGGGAGGAAATTGCTGAGAGTTGGCTTGTATACGGTTAGTGTCACAAGTCACTTTTCTGTAAGATGGCAGCTGCCAGCTGGAGTTTGCCTTTGGTATGCCAATTGTAAAATTTAAATAGTTGTTTTCAAATGCTGTTTAAATTTTTTTTTTTAAATGTGATAAGTGCTTCTCACTGTGTGATTAAAATACAAAACTGAGTATAATGGCAGAGATTAGAAAATGTACCAAATGCTAGAGGCTGATACAAAAGGCAAGGCAACTGTGGTTTAAGGTCAATGCCATAGTGAGAAGTCCAGCTCTGTCCACAGCTGTTGAGGAGAAGAAGGAAGTCCTGAATTTCCTACCATGGTGCTGTCCCTAGATCTGCTGTGGGGAAGGGAAGAGCTAGATTTTTTTTGGCCTCTGATTAGTAGATGTGGCATTACAGTCTATATGATTTTATAAAAATATGCTAATGAGTGAATATAATGTAACTGGAATATGCTTCATGCAAAAGGTCTCTTGTAAGGTGTCATTTCAAAGCTTATAATCTGAGTGTGATCGTCCTATTTGTATAAATGTACCACTCTTGTATCTGAAACTAGAAATATGAAATATAACTCTGAGGGCCTATTGTAATTATACAAAGTGTGGGCCATTAATGGTGGTTTGGAATCTTGATGACTCCCATTAACCAGGACAATTGACTGCAGATGGCTCTGTTTTACCTGTAAGTCTTCCTGTATACGTGTGTGCTGGCAAGTGGGCAATGAAGTTTTGCAGTGACATGTGATCATGTCACCTGAACTGGAATCCATCTTTAACCTGGTGTCTTTCCATTGAGAAGGAGTGGGTGGGAACCCAGAGAGGGACAAAGGATTCCCGCCTTATGCAAAAGATTATATGAATGGGTGGAACAGAACAAAGCAGGAGGAGCCATCATGAAGAATCCCCTAGCTACCACTTGAGCTGGAACAAGAGCTGAACCAGGGGAAAGAATTGTGCCCAGGCCTGGAAGGCGTCCAGTCTGAGGAAAAAACTTACTGAAGCATCTCTGAGGGTGAGATTATCTGTATTCAGTTTGATTAGACATAAATTTGCATGTTTTATTTTATTTTGCTTGGTGACTTACTTTGTTCTGTCTGTTACTACATGGAACCACTTAAATCCTACTTTTTGTATTTAATAAAATCACTTTTTACTTATTAATTGACCCAGAGTATGTATTAATACCTGGAGGAGCAAACAGCCATGCATATCTCTCTATCAGTGTTATAGAGGGCGAACAATTTGAGTTTACCCTGCATAAGCGTTATACAGGGTAAAACGGATTTATTTGGGTTTAGACCCCATTGGGAGTTGGACATCTGAGTGTTAAAGACAAGAACGCTTCTGTGAGCTGCTTTCAGGTAAACCTGCAGCTTTGGGGCAAATAATTCAGACCCTGGGTCTTTGTTGGAGCAGACGGGTGTGTCTGGCTCAGCAAGACAGGGTGCTGGGGCCCCGAGATGGCAGGGAAGGCAGGGGTAGAAGTAGCCTTGGCACATCAGGTGGCAGCCAAACCCATCACAAGTGTCTAAACTGCAAAATATACTCTTTATTTTTTTATTTTTTTTACTCCCCTGCCTTTGAGCCCTCCGATGGATGGATTTAGAGAAGGGTAGTCTCTGCTAATCTATCCCTCCCTATCCTCACAGCTTTTGTAAGGAGACATTTTTTTCCACCAATTCCATCCCCAAACCTTAATTTATTGGTAGCTCCTTCTCCATGAAAAGCACCAGTGCCTGCTGCTGCAGCTGTTCATAGCCTTCCCAAATAGTGGCAAAGTGAAGCTGATATAGTTCTTGCCAATTTCACAGCTGCCTATTGGTTTCCCTATACTAGCTTTGAAAGTGGCCATAGTCTTGTCAGCTGGGGAGTGAAAGGGATTAGGAAGGCCATGAGCAACAGAAGATACCCAGGCACAATCTGTAGACTGAGAAAGACGGCACTGCATTGTTTAACATTTGAAAAGTTATTTTCACAACCATAAAAGGTAGAAGCTTCATTGTTTAAAATAAAAGCTTAACTTCTTTAGCTTCTCTGGTGGGTAATATAGGTTCCTTTCTCATCAGTGAAAACTTTCTACTCACTGGCAAGATGTCAGGTAGAGTTTTCAAGCTCTGAAAATGGAAGCCATTTTCTTTTGAAGGGACACCATCAACTGGAAGTCTAGTCAGTTTAAAAAATTAAATTAGTTAAAGGGATTTCAGATGCTATACCTTCCATCTGCCGATATTTTTGATTTTACAATTACATTTTCTATTTTTTAAAGGTTTTAATCTCCCTTGTTTCTGTGTGAATGAGAAAACTACCCGAGTAATACAAGAAAAACAGACAAACTGACTATACATAAAGTGCTGTCAAATATACAAATATATATACAAATCTTGTTAACTGCTTTCAGTTACAGTAATATTAGAAGTTAGTTGTGACAGTAGATAAAC